GAACATGGATGTTATTGAATCCTGTGTTATGTGCTTGAGGTCCACAAGCCCGGATGAGAGAGGGACCCAGCATACAAAGCTGTCACAACACAGCTATCCTGGGCTTCCTATGGTACTTCTGTGCTCAAAATGAGAGCCAGCCAAGCAGTTTTCTAAACCAGGGGGACAAATGCAGCAAAAGAGTCTGCAAGAAGTAAATAGGTCTACCCACCCAACCAAGCCCTTCTAGAGATATATCCTTGAAATCAGAAGAGAATCTTCTTAATCTAGTCCAGAGGCTATAAACTAATGGAACAGGGACCCAAAGTAGCCGCAGATATTTTATTTGGCCCTCTTAATGTTTCACATGCCTTTTTGTACTGCATTCTGACTCTGGCCACGTTATATATATATTTTTAAAGATCCATTCATTTTCTTTAGAAAGGCAGATTTACAAGGAGAAGAGACCGAAAGATACCCCAACCACTGTTTCCCCAAGTGGCTGCAACAGCCGGAGTTGAGCCAATCCGAAGCCAGGAGCCAGGGGCTTCTTCCCGGTCTCCCACACGGGTGCAGGGTCTCAAGGTATGGGCCATCCTTGACTGCTTTCACAGGTCACAAGTGGGAAGCTAGATGGGAAATGGAGCAGCCAGGACATGAACTGGCACCCATATGGGATCTTGGGCATGCAAGGCGAGGACTTTATAGCCACTAGGCTATTGCAAGGACAATAGTTTGCTGAGTAAATACATGGTAGCCACTCCCTACAGATATGTGGAACACAACCAAACAGCACATTTTCGGAAATCCTGAATAAATCCAGTCAGTTCATTCCAGAGATGAAGACAATGAAGCTATGAAAAACTGGCCTGCCCACATTTAGTGACAGAGTCAAGATGAGAAGCCTAATGTTGTGAATCCCAGTTCAGGGGTTGTCAGCAGGTACTACTGACGCTTGACAGTCTGAGATTCAGGAACATTGCCAGCTTGTTGGCACTGCGGTGAAAGGAAACGAACTCGGCGATGCGTTTTCCATCTCTAGACCTGCTGCCCTTCATTTCCTTTGCAATCCCCTCACTAAGACTAGCTAGGAACTCCAAGTCTCAACATTTCTCAGGCTGCGGATCACACCCACGGTCTGAAGAATCTGTGCTCTCTGCACAAGGGCTGCATATTCTCAGCCTCCGCCAGCGCTCTCAGACCCAGCTGGGGTTTGAACACTACTTTTTCTCTCTTGTTAATGGCCTTTTCTCTTCCTACAACAGGCAGCTGGGGAACAGCAGCCTCGTGGGATAGTACTGTGGGAGGAGAGGTTAGTAAGAGCAGTTGCAGAAGACAGGAGGTTGGTAACAGGTCTGAATTTTCTTTCTGGCTCTCTTTCCAAAGCATCAAATAGACATAGCCAGAGCCTTGAACATACTGCTTTCTGAAAAGTGGAGGCTCTATCCGGAGTGACATAATTTACATAAGACACTCTTACTGTGCTCTCCTTAAGTGCGGTGACAATCATTTCTAAAAGTCTAGCTGAAATGGACATGGCTGAATAGTACCACAAGCTCATTATAATTCAGGCCCATACATATTTTACCTAAAATTCCCCAAGGAGATTTTTTTTTTTTAAATCTTGGAGATGCCAATGACAAGATGATATTTAATTGGGATAGAAGTGTATGAAGAATGGAATAGTAACAAGGGCATCCACACGAGCTCATTCTGTGTAGAGGCTACCGGAGGAACACAAGATCATCTTGTTTGAGAAGAGAGAACATGTGGTAATGGAACTGGACTAGAGGCTACAAGGCTGACCAGCTGAGCAAAGATTCGAACTCACATAGAGAACCAACAGTCAATGTTCCGTCAAAGAGCAAGCACTCAGATATGTATAATGTCCATGACAGTTAAACACAAAGAACTTCCCAAGGCCTGCTTGTGCTCTGGCGAGAACCCCGAGAAGCCCCTCTAAATATCCGCAGTGGAGATGGAATCGTCTCCTTTGTGCTCCACTCTGACACTGTAATTCTAAAACCCCCAAGAGTGTATTTAGCATAAACTAGGATGTTCTCAAATTGCCAGTCACACTGCTGTTCTATATAGCATCTGTTGGTCCTACTATACAGTTTTCTAGGAACATACGTGAAACATCAGGTGGATGGCTATTGCCAAAAGGGACATGTCCTTCCCCTCAAGTGAGACAGAGGAAAGTGCTAGATGCACCACACGGGTCCCCATAACACCTCCTGGCCACTGAATGCACAGTGATTGTATTCCTTCAGAACAAAGTTATGAGGGCAATGACTACGCTATGAGGTAGTTTCTCTCTTTTAATTCTCAACTCTTAGAATCTGGGGCTATTCATCCTGCCAACTTTACTAAGAGGGAACCCAACAAATATGCTTGGTCCTATGTAAGAGGAAAAACTAAAGCTCACAGCAACCAGTCTCCTTTTCATGTTGGACACAAAGAAATCCTGCATTAATGCATGAAACCCTTTCACAATAGGGACGAACTTGCTCAGCACTAAGTCAGGCTCAAGTGAAAGGACTCAGAAAGCCTTGGTGGGATTCTGGTTACTGCTTTGTCACTAACATGCAAGGTTTTGTTACCTACAGCCATAAGCCCAAGGCTAATAATTTGGTTCCAATCTCTTTCAGAAATGAGCCTTCTCACAAAACCCAAATTCACCTAACCCAGTACTGATCACTTCATTAGAAACTTAGCCTTCCCACTATGGCGGTGTGTATGGAGGGAACAGTGGTCATATACGGATGATTGTTAAAATGAGAGCGCTGAAGAGATTCTCAGAAAGCTCTGTTCGGCTGTACTTTTTAGCCAGCAACATCTATGAATTTAACCACTGGGTTGGCTCATGGTCTTCCCTCCCACTTGAAGATACCTACTGCTTGGTTAGTAAGCCTAGAGTCCAAAGGTGGTCTGTCATGGAACTAAACCTCCTTTCTCCTCTGCCTGAAGAAGCATAGGAAACCCCAAAGTCAGAGCAACAAATGGGTGCTGGCAATTCAGAGGGACAATTTCAGAGAGCCAAAGAAGGTATGCCCCAAATTCTGTGTGGAAACCTTACCCAAGACTTTGGCCAACCTCTTAACTATATGCAAAACAGACTCCAGCAAAAGATAAAATAATTGAGCTGAGATTTCAGCTGCTGCCCTAAAAGACTATAATTTAAGTCCAATAAAATTAAATGCCTTATCTCTCTGACACACACATACACCCAAGCACTTTTCAAAGGATGCAACAGGATCTCCAATACAGACATTTATAATATTCAAACCACAATCTGAAACTGCTAAAAGGACTAAAAAATTTTGACTCATTCTAGACAGAAAAGAGATCAATTCTGAGATTACTGAAATGTTTAGCTTACAAAAATGAACTTTAGGGCAACTATTCTAACAACTTTCAATGAAATAAGGGAAAATATTTGTAGTAAACAAAGAGAAAAATCTCAGCTGAGATATGTGAAGGATTAAATGGAGGTTCCAGGACCAAAAGCTACTCCAAATCAAGTCTTTGTCTCCACACGGGAAATGGTCCTTATTTCTTTCATATATTTGTTCTTTTATCCTTTTACCTCTGGAACAGGGTCAATTTACAAAAAGAAGAGATGGATTTTCTTTTAATTCCCCCCCAAGGGCATAAATCATAATTATTGATGTTCTGATGGCACATGAAGTAGAGTGAATGCAACTCATATTCAAGATTACTTCTGCTCAGTTGAAGGCAGTTTCCACTGACTTTCATCTGTACCAAAACTAAATGGAACACTGCTTACTGACAGCAGCGGTGGCAGTTTTGTTCTTTTGGAGTCTTGACTTTAGCAATGAAAAAAATGAAGGAACACTTGGATTAGATTACATATATGGGTATTATCATTTACTGAGACACGAAGGCCAGAGCTGTTTTTCTTAGATTCCTAAGATGTCACATCAAGCTTAACAAAAACAAAAAATTTCCTTTGAAGGCAGAACATGTGCTATGAAATGCTATCGCACAGCATATTGGGGGCAGGCTACTAGCAAATACGTACTATTTCTATGAAGACAAAAAAGCGATCAGAGGAAGAATGAAGGAATGAAAAAAACTATCTTCTGAAGTGATTACCAGATTATCAAAAGGAAATATATGTACTTTTAAGATTTATTTATTTTTATTAGAAAGGCAGATCAGATTTGTGGGAAGGAGACAGAGAAAGATTTTCCATCCGCTGGCTCACTCTGCAGTAGTCAGAGCTGAGTCAATCAAATGTCTGGAGCCAGGAGCTTCTTCCGGGTCTCCCACGCGGGTACAGGGTCCCATCCTCTACTGCTTCCCCAGGCCACAAGCAGCTGAATGGAAAGTGAAGCAGCTGGGACATGAACCAGCTTCCAACGAGGATCCCAGTGCTTGCAAAATGAGGATTTAGCCATTGAGCCATTGAGCCAGGCCCTAAAAAGAACTATTTTGAAGAGGCAATTTCCCTTCCCACCACCCCCCCCCCGCCTTTTTTTGCCATTAAATCCCATGCAGTTTGAGATACAGATTTCAGAAATAGAGTTAACTTCCTAAACCCCAGGTCCCTGGAACCCTCAGAAGTAGGGCATAATAGGAAAGGACATAAATTGGTCCCCAGATGAAACAACTGGACTCAAATAAAAAATATGCTAACCACAAGAAAGATTGCCAAGAAACCCTAAAACAATTTTAGAAATGGAAATAACAGTTCTTTTGAGAGCAAGGAGTATCCTTATTCCCTTCAGTTAAAACTATGTTCAAAATAAGAGAACAAAAGTTCCCAGGCAGCATTCTCAACTACTTAGCATGTGCACCAACTAAAACCAGTTTTCAGTATTAAGATGAATTAATACTTTTTAAAAAATGTTAAGACCTGATTCATCATTGTATCAGAAACAGAACAAAGAAGCCAAGACTGTAAAACTCCTTTTTTAACAGTTCTTTCACTATAAAGCTAATCACATCATCCAATAATACACAAGTTTAGAAACTTTACAAAATTCCTCTTTTTAAAATTTATTTTTTGTTATCAAAGAAACTGTCCAGAAACATTGAATACTAAAGAATTTGTTCATGGCATTGCTTTACAAAAGTTCCTAATAGAGTGAATATTTATTTTCTGATGTATCCTTCACTTATTAATGATGAAGTGGATGAACTGATATAATTACTTAAAAAAAATTCCAGACAACCTTATAAAGGGGAAATACAATCCATTCTCATTCTGGATCTGCTAACTGGAGTGGATTCAGTGGTCAAAACATCACGGCGGATGAAGAGTCCTCACAGTACGGAGTTGTTCAGTTCTTCCCAGGAAGTCTTTCAGATATAGGCACCATGTTTGAAGTCTCGCACAAAATGTCTGTGTCACTTAAATTACACAATGTGGCAGTGTTTGTTTCATGGGGACAGAAAATTGAAAGGGGCAAAGTAGAAAAAACGATGGTTTGCCTGTTACGTGTGAGTACATTACTGAACTGTGCATGGGCTGGAGGGCATTTCAGCCCTTGTTAAAGAGGAATCCCACCGAGGAAGCATCGCAGTTCCCAGGGCTTGCAGTGCAGGGTTTCTGCTGGTTCAACCATGCTGTCAGGTCTGGCCTTCTTCACCTCCGGGTTGGCTGAAATGGTCTGAACTGAGTTTGGGTGTCCATCTCTCCTCAGCTGAATTTTATTTATCAGCTTCAGGATATGTAGGGTACTTAACTGTTTCTATCTTTTCTTGGACTTTGTAGGAGGGATAGAGTCCCGTCCTTCCCAGTTTTCTGTTGACACCTTTAGAGTATCCATCCCAGTGATTTCCAGCCACACCAATGATATCTCCAGGCTCCATAGCGATTTCATTTTCAGTTCGAGGATGGTGAGGATAAATAGCAATCTGGTTGTGGGCATTTTGGCCCCCAAAATAGTAGATGTCATCTAAGGAATGGAAGTTTGCAGATGCATCAGGATGCAGTGTTTGCATGATTTCATAAGCAACTCGACAAACCTCGGGAAAGAAAGAAAACACTACTGTTAGCAGGGCACGCAAAGCCTTTCCTCGTGGCGTCTGGGACTCCTGGCGGAAGAGCAGCAGGTCCTAGCACAGCTCTCACCCGCTCCTCCCCGACGATGGCACACTGATCCACATCTTTGGGTTTGCATCTTTTTAAAATAAAATTTTTTTGGAAACAAATGTTCATAACAATTAAGATCTCAGGAAAATACATGTACATTTGTATGATTTGGCTAACAAAATTCTCTTTCATATTCTGAATACAGAACTTAGGTCAAACATTCCTAAATTTCCAGTTTAGATCATCTTAGTTAACAAAGTTTTATTTTCCTATATTAATACTCTGCCACTGATTTAAGATGAAACCACCAATGGTAATTCCTCATCTAACCAGTGGGAGTTTAGGACTAGTTGGCAGTCTTTAAACTGAACAAAATGAATTCTGATTAGGTTACTCCACACTTCATCATCAAGAATCTGAATTTCAGAAACTTGAGGGAACAGTTCTCAAGTGCTATAGGGAATTTTCAAATTAAATTTAGACAGTAATCTTATACATTGAAACTATAATACAAGGAAATTAAGTAATTTGCCTAAAGTCTAATATTAGAATTTCAACTAGACAGAACCAAAAGAATGAAAACTTTGCTTTCAAGTTTATTCAACAGCAAACCAACTTTACATCCGGAATGTCACAATACAAACGAGTTCACTGGTAGAATACTGACATAATAAAATGAGGATCAAAAAGAGTTGAAAATTTTGAACTTCAAATTCAGTCAAAGGCCAACAAGCAAACCTGGCTTGGTAGCCTAGTAGCTAAAAGTCCTTGCCTTGCATGTGCTGGGATCCCATATGGGCGCCAGTTTTAATCCCAATGATCCTGCTTCCCATCAAGCTCCCTGCCTGTAACCTGGGAAAGCAGTTGAGGACAGCCCAAAGCCTTGGGATGCTGTACCCATAGGAGAGACCAGGGAAAAGGCTCCAGGCTCCTGGCTTTGGTGCAGCTGCAGCCGTTGCAGCCACTTGGGGAGTGAATCAGTGGATGGAAGATTTTCTTTTCTGTATCTGACTTTGCAATAAAATTTAAAAAAAAAAAGGCGTATAAGGAAAACTAAGGAGTTGTGTGCTGCATAATAGCATTTTGGTCAATGACATACCGCAGATAAAATGGTGGTCCAGTAAGGTCACATTGCCAGCCGATGTCTATGTTTGCATAATGAAGTAATCATGCAATGTCACATTTGTCAGGATATATCCTAGTAATTAAGATATACCAGCTCCAAAAGCAGGCTTCCTTAGGTGTTTTCTATCATGATCTTCTGTCATTAAGATACTATCATAATGATCGTTTTATAGAGGCATTGGTTCAGTGTTACTCCACTGGAGGTGGGAAGCTCAGCTTTGACCCTGGACAATCCGCACATGCCCGTAACTGCTCCATGCAGCTTCTCTTGCCAGTTGCCTTCTGCCTGTTCCCACCACACCAACACAAAGACGGACAGCCAAGGGCAGCCTCGGGCAAACCCGAGTCTTCTGCACCGTGTGTCTTACTCTTAGGATGACACAATCTTTGCTATGACAATGAACTCTGATGTTTCTTTCCTTCTACTCTTACATGTTTTACGCTCATGAAAACAATGACATTCTTTCTTCTACTCTGAGGGGACCTACCTATTTTATGTTTCAACATAAGTATTTGTTAATATATTAGCGTTGGTGGGTATGTTTTCTAAAGTAAAATAATATTTAATGGTAAAAGTTTCAGACACAAGGTAGACCTGGATGAGCTTGGACTGTGGGCACCTTCCATCACACGAGGGCTCATGATGATGGCACTGAGCTTAATGAGCACAAGCTATGCTGCAGGCGCAAGTCTTACTGTGCCCACGCGCTTCCCCAACAAACCTATTAGGCTGATTCTATTATTACTCACTTTATGGATGGAAAAATTAAGTCAGAGAAAGATTAAATTTCCTTCAATCAGTTTAGGAAGGACAGAGCTGCAGTTAGGATTTCTCTAGCTCTAGCACATGCATTCTCAAACACGCGTAATACTGCCTTCAGGTATCTGTTGACAAGGCTGTTTGTCCATCACAGGCTCTGAATAAAAATCTGCTGAATGAGGGCCAATGTTGTCGGCACAGCAAGTCCAAGTGCTGCCTGTAAAGCCAGCATCCCACCTAAGTGCCAATTCAAGTCCTGGCTACTCCTTTTCCAAACCAGCTGCCTGCTAGTGTGGCGGGGGTCGGGGAAAGTGGAAGACGGCCCAAGTGCCTGGACCCATGCTATCCATGTGGAGGTCCAGGCTTTTGGCCTCGACCTGGCCCAGCCATGGCTGTTGTAGCCATCTGGGAAATGAACCAGTGGAAGGTAATGTTTTCCTCTCTCTTCCCTCTCTCCGTTTCCTTTTCTCCCTCTGTTTCTCTTTCAAAAAAAATACACAAATCTTAAAAAGTCTGCTGGATGAATACTGCTTTACACAATGCTAAAAATCGATTCCAGTAAAGGAAATTCAAGTCCTTAATCTTAAGGGTCCACACATAACATTCTGAGTAATTAAAACTTTGTCCATATTAAGAATATGGCATTTTAACACAAAAGACTAGGAAGATTACATACTACAAGGCTAATGTTTGCGTTCAGTCATCCTAAGTTTCCCCTTGAAGCTTTACACGTTTAAATTACACAGCAGGTAAGTGAAGGCTTGTGGCTGACGCCAACACTCAGGCTGAACACTTGATGGAGAGTTAGACTCTGAGGGGCGGTATGTGGCTTGCAGAGCAGGGGCTGGCCTCACATAGTACTCTTTCCATCCCTCTGTGTCAACATGGCACAATACAGTCCTCAGGATATCACAGTGCACATAGCAGTGAATAATGTAACTACTGCCAAAAACCAAAACAAAAGCAACTGGATTTCAGGAAACAATTTTAAAAGGTGTGTGTGTGTAATGTTCTGTTTCATTTTTTCCCTTAGACACAGCCTGGTTAAGGATGCATGAGCCTTCAGAGTGTTCTTAGAGTGAATAAGATCTTGCTTTTGTCAAAAATAAACAGGACTGGTAGCTCTCCTAGAGTGAAAAGTTGTAAACAGGTTCATGTCTTGCTGGGTCTGAAACGAACTGCTTTGCTGTGTTACACTAAGAACAAGATTTTCACTATCATGTGAGGAACACGTAAAGCATTAACGCCAGAAGGGATGTACAGTGCAACGTTCTGCACTGCAAGCTCAAGTCCCGCTGCTCAGAGCCCCCGCAGGAGTCTCCGGCTCTGCCTCCCATGCTGTTCCTCTCATACTCTCACGTGCTGTAGGTCCACGGGCCACAGCTCTAGAAATTCCTACTCAGAGACACCCAGTCCGGAATGAAGTTAAAGAAGATCTTGGTTCTGCTCTGTGGGCCCTCCAAAAATCTGATTTAAGGTGAAATGAGAATAGTCGTATATAGATTTTGAATCAGACACAGAGTACTGTAAGAGTTGGTTAACTGCCAGAAAGGAAATATTTTGCCCTATAGTGATTTTTAATAATTGAAACTACTGAATGATACTGATTGCCTTTTAAACAATGTTGGCTTTAATAATGTTAAATATTGGGCCCGGCACGATAGCGTAGTGGTTAAGGTCCTCGCCTTGCACGCGCAGGGATCCCATATGGTTGCCTGTTCTAATCCTGGTAGCTCTGCTTCCCATCCAGCTCCCTGCTTGTGGTCTGGGAAAGCAATCGAGGACAGCTCAAAGCCTTGGGATGCTGCACCCATGTGGGAGACCTGGAAGAGCTCCTGGCTCCTTGCTTCAGACTGGCTCAGCTCCAGCTGTTGCGGTCACTTGGGAATGAACCATCAGATGGAAGATCTTCCTCTCTGTCTCTCCTCCTCTCTGTATATCTGCTTTTCCAATTAAAAAAAGGAATAAACGAATCTTAAAAAAAAAAACAATGTTAAATATTTTGCTTATCTGTAACTAAGCTGCCAACTATTTTTATTTCTGTAATCATAATTCCTTTGTGTCATATTTAAAATGATTTCATCAAATAAAATTACAAAGTATATGTTTCAAACACAGTCAATTTCCAATAACACACAAGATTAGTATATTGGTAGAAAAGTGTAAAATACGATTGCACAGCTTTCAAAATTCACTTGATGCTCTTAGTAAATGCTACAAATTCCTTCTAATTTTTATATTAAATCCCAAGGACTGTTATCTTCAATTATGAGGCTGTTAGGGCAAACTTGATTTTGGTTAATAGTGTTAATAAACAGCAGCAGTAACAGAATCAGAGTAGAGCCAAAACATCTTTTCACCTAATCATAGATCATTTCTGGACCTCATTTATGGATATAAAAACCAAAAAGTTTGGAAGCCCCTACACTAAGGGGAGGGAGATTTGTTGTAAAGCTTTATGAGGAATACTGACTAAAGCAGCATTACAGCCACAGTGCTTCAAACACTGCACCTTGCACCTTTCCTTCCAGCATGGCATCTTACACTCTCCTTCTATTATCATCATTGTTCATGATTGACGATAATTTCTTCTCCATTATTGTTATAAATTCCTCAAAGAATCGCACATAAGAGAGAATGTTTACATGAGTAAGACTTAAGGACGACCAAAGTAATTCTGAAGAAGCTATTGAACTTGTATCACCCCCAATCATCTCTTAAAATACGAGATTATCATCAAGTTGGAATTGGTATCCATGCTTTATTCAGGAATGAGATTTGGTTCATAGTGTCTGATCTCTTCTTCCACTCTTCTGGATGTGTGGTTTAGTGCCCCTTTGCCCACTTTCTAGTATTCCGGTGGCATTTTCCTAAAGCTAACAGCACACAAACTCACTAGCAACTGATACAGCAAATGCTACAATTCATTCTTTGCGAATCAAGAACTTTTGTTTCTGAAAATTCACTTATATGGCAATGTTCCCTTCCAATATACTAAATAAAATGGAGTTGAGGTGGTAGATGGGTATGAAAAAATTTCTGTTCTGAATGGTAATAGTTACTCTCATTTATGAAGAATTATTGTATCTGCCCAATTCACATGATAAACGGGTAGTCCCTAAGCATTACCCCTACTCATAAGCAGAGGTAATGGAGTCCTTGAAGATCTGCTTCACATGTCTCCTAAAATATGACACCTGAAATGGAGCCATGTGAGAAAGAGCTGCTGAAACCGATCTGTAGCCTTTCTTCAGGCAGATATTCCTGTAACTGTACAGCAGCCACCATGTTCAATATACTGCTGAGTACTATTGTCAGTGCTCTTCCTGTAATAGCACCTCAATCCTCACACAACAGCATGCAATTGGCACTACTAATTACAACTCTACATGCAGAAAAGAAAAAACATACCAATAGTCAGAGACAGGCTCAGTAATTTGCTCAAGGCCACACAGCCACTAAATAGTCAAACATTGGTCTCCAAGCCAAACAGTTATCTGCCCAGAAGAATTAGTGTCTGGCATTTTGATAGAGTCAGGGACTTTTCTCACGCCCTACTGGTGGGGATATTGAGGTATTTCTGGGGCATTTTTCAAACAATTCTGATTTACAGGAAACTTCTACAATCCAATGCTGATTTCATTCATGCTGCAGAATTAAGCCTGTATTAAATAATCCTTGAATAAAGACATCTTCAAATAATATTGAGGCTACAAATCAGTCCGAAAGTTATCATTGATTTTATTTACATAAATCTAAAATTAAAAATTTCAGATAAGACTCATGATAATGCAGCTTATCTTATTTAGTAAAGTGTATTTTTTTGCGGTTCCATTTTTCACTCCTAGGTCCAGTGTTGTAGTACAGCTTGATAAGGAGCCCTGTGTAGTATCAGCATCTCCTACTGAAGTGGGTTAAGTTCTGGCTGCTTCACTTCCGATCCAGTTCCATGCGAACATACCTGAGAGTGCAGCAGAAGAAGGCACACGTGCTTGGGCCCTGCATCCACATGGGAGACCAGAAGGAAGTTCCCAGCTTTAGCCTGACGCAGCCTCAGCTATTATGGCCATTTGGCAGGTGTGTCCGGGGTAGGGGTGGTAAACTAATAAACGGAAGAGCCCTTTCTTTCTGACTCTCCAATTCTATCGCTCCACTTTCAAATAGAATATTTTTATTCTGAATCCTATAGAAAATATTTTGAGATATTTGAGTCTATTTTGGAATATAAAACATTGCTTGAGTTTTGCCTCAATTCAAATGAGGAGAAACTACTTTGAGTGAATTTCATCTAACTGCCAAGAGCTGTTAAAAATACACAAACATGAATCTCATTTTTTAAAAGAGATTTACTTAATTTTTTTTGGAAAGATTTATAGAAAGCAACTTGTAATTCTGTATTCATTGCAGCACAATCAACGACTGCTAAAACATGGAAACAAATTAGATGCCCACTGAAAGAGGACTGGATAAAGAAACTGTGGTACACCGACTCTATGAAATACTACTGAGCTATCAAAAAGAATGAAACTCTATAGTTTGCATCTAAACGGGCCCAACTGGAGACCATTATGCTAAGTGAAATGAGCCATATCACATATTGCTCTAATATAAGACAACCTCCATCAGAAATGCAAAACAAACAAACAAAAAGGAGAGTAAACACACCATGTAATGCCACAAACAAAGGATGTAATGAAGACCAGGCTACTCGGAATCAGGGAAAATAAACAGTAGGCATCTCTACTAAGGAGTGAAGGTAGACTCCCAATGAAACTTCCAAATAGACCTAGACAACAAAAACTACAATCCCTACTACTGACCATGCCAACCATGTCATGAGCCATGAAAAGAGCCAAAAGTTAGAACCATTTCTTTTTAATCTCTAACTTTAAGTGGTTGTACCTGGTGACTCTCAATGCTAACACAGCTGCAGGGTTGTTTTACTCATCTTCTTAGGGAATAGCTCTTTCATGTTTCAATTTACATTTTGGCATCAAATCTATTTTTGCTGTGAATTTTGCCTTTTTGCACTTCCTAGTCATTTGTATCTTTTCCAGTAAGTCCTTTGGATTCATTAGTTGATCACCACAGACACTTTTTGATTGCTTGTAAGCACCTTGAAGCTGCCCCTCCCAACACTGTTTTTGCTGCATCTCAGGGGAATAAGTTCTGTTTTCTTCTGTCATTTCTTTAGCGCTACATGGGTCATCATTTTCTACAAGAAAGTTTTTTATTTTCTTTTTTATCACTCTAGTGATGGTATTTTTGTAGCATGTTCTTTAACTTCATGTTGATGAAAATTTTTTGTTTTTTTTCCCTGTTGTGGACTGTGTTTTCTGGCTCTGTATTTAAGGGGCTGTGTAATAGAAGTAGAGCAGGGACCAGCAGGTCCAGATGTGGAGACACAGTGCAGTATGTCCCTCTGCATCTAGACCAAAGATGGACTCCCAGTAAAACAGTTGAAAATATCCTGACAGTAGGAGCCAAGAGCTACGAGGTCTCCCTTGTGGGTGCAGGAGTCCAAGGACTTGGACCATTCTCTACTGCTTCCCAGGCCACAAGAAGAGAGTTGAATTGAAAGTAGTGCAGCTGGGACATGAACCAGCATACACATGGGATGCTAACACTGTAGACGGAGGATTAGCTTGCTATGCCACCATTCTGGTCCCTCCCACCCCCAACCAACCACCAAAAGCATTACTTATTTTATATTAATGTATATTTTTTGGCAATTATTATCTAGTTATTTCTTGTGTGCACTTTTTGCTTATTAGAGTCTAACTAGGGTGGAATTGTATCTTTTTTTCCCTTATGATTTATTTTTTATTTGTAAGCCAGAGTTATAGAGAGGAGGAAGAAGTGGAAGAGGAGGATGAGGAGAGAGGAAGGAATCTATTCACCGATTCATTCATTTCCCAAATGGCCACAGTGGGCCAAGGCAAAGTCAGGAGTTTGATCTGAGTCTCCCACATGGGAATAGGGGTCCAAGCACTTAGGCCATCTTCTGTTGCTTTCCCAAGAGTATCAGCAGGGAGCTGGATCAGAAGCGGAGCATCCAGGGGATGCCAGCATCACAGGTGGAAGTATGCCACTAATATGCCACAGTGCTGATGCGAAGAACTACAATATCCTTTGAAACCCCCTGTACACCTACCTCATTTATAACTGGTCGAATGAACTGCTCAACAATATAGACAGAAATTAGCACAATAAAGCTTCGAGTACATATTGCTATGCTGATACTCCACAGGGCAAATAAGGCTGATTAGACTACTCATAAAAACACTCAGACCAAACCTGTAACCCTTAATTATTTGCAGCAATTAAACTCAAAAAGTGACTGTGATACTAGACTGCTTAAATGTAACATACACTTTCTTGCTCGGCAGAAATTTGAAAAGAAATGACACCTACTTCTTTTCCATAAAGCAACCAAGTGAGGCAAAATGCTAGGCATTTAAACCTCACAGCAGCAGTGCAATAATGTGTAGAAATAGATGGATTCTCATTACATATTGACTGTATGCAAAATAAGAAGGTATTAAGTAAGCTTGATTACTTGTGGTTCCTGCTAAATGCTGTGAACAAATCAAGTACTTTGTATGCAACTCTGATCATTGGTTTCAGGGGAGATGTATTCAGTTGTTGGTTGCAAGCAAGTAAACATTCAATGAACAATTAGTTACTTCAAAGAATCTTTTAGTTCTTTCACAAAAGGGGTAACTGTTAATTAAAGGAAAATTGTGCCATAGGCATGATCTCTAACACACACAAACACACACAATTTTTCGTGACCCTGATATGACCAAAATGTATTGCTTTTTTGGAAGTGTGGGTGGCAGGGGGAAGCTGGGGGCCAATGCAGCACAAGGGGTTAAGGACACTGTGGTATCCTGGTATCCTATCAGGCAGTGCCAGGTTGAGTCCTGTTTACTCCACTTCCCACCCAGTTCCCTACCAATACTTCACTTCCTCTGAGAAGCACAGGATGTTGGCAAAAAAAATATGAGTTTCTACCACACACATAAGGAGACTGGGGTGGAGTTCCTGACTCCTGGTTTTGGTCTATTCCAGTCCTGGCTGCTGTAGCCATTTGGGGAGTGAATAAGTGCAGTTTTCTCTGTTACTCCATCTTTAAAATAAATAAAAACTATTTAAAGGAGATGCTGTGTGGAATGTGCTCAGCTTGAGAGCTAAGATGCTCATGTCCCAAAGTGACACCCAGCTCTGCTTCCTGACTCTAGCTTGCTGCTAATGCAGACTGCGGCAGGAAGTAACAGTGATGCCTTCCGGCTCTTGGTTCTCTCTGCAGGTGTTAAGGAAGTGGACCAGCAACTGGAAATACTCTCCAGCTCTCTTTATTTTTAATTTAAAGGAAAGATAGGATTTTAAACAAATAAATAAAAATGTCCTGCTGCCACTTACCTGGGATGAAAAGGTACACACTAGGAAGTCTGCCTGGGAGAGAAAATGTATATCCAGAATCACACCTCGAAGTGAATTCTCTGTGTAGCGATTGTGCAATCCAGCTGACCAAGAGATAGAGTTATCACTAATAAATTCATAATTGGGGTACCTGAAAAAAGAATTAAATTTACACATCATCACTGAGATGGTCATATCCTATCAGAAGACAGACTGGTTTCTTGATTTAAAACAAAAACAAAAACAAAAAACCCCACTTTTCTTTCTACTATGAAGGAGCGCTTTAATTACAGCATTCATAGAACACCTGACAAGGCACTTTTGCATCCATCGGTGCGGCAGAAACCTTCCTGAAATTTACTGTATGTGAAGTCTTGCTAGAGAAAATCATATAAAACACACATGAATACACCAAAGTGTCCTTCCTCACCTCACGAAGAGTTGAGAACTGAAGGTTCCTTCGTCTCTTTGTAAGGACTGACCTCTCAAGAGATTAGTCATGCTCACTGACCTCACACTTAGGATAAAAATATCACAATAAACTTTCATTTACACTTTTAACATACAATTTGTGATCTTTCAGATTTGGGTTAGATTTTGGAAATGTCTTCCTAATTGATGTGACAAGTTAATAATACAAAATGTTATGACACATAATTTAAAAATTTGTGAGAAATAATAGTCTCCCCTAATTACCATTCTTACAGAATCATTTATTCTTAGCCAAAAGTGGCAATAAAAAGACATTCTAATATATGTACAAAAAAATATGCTATAGATTGCTTCAAAGGAACATGTTGGCAGTCTTGCTTGAGATAGGCTATGTGGTTAAAATATTAAACCAGGATATCTTTAGAAAGTCTAAGTATGTTCAAATAATTCTACCTTGAATCAGAGATGTAACTGTTACTGCAATGTAGAATGGAACATTTTCTAGTGCATGAAGTACATCTTTTTATATGGTTGAGCTATAAACCTTGGTAAGTTACATGAAATAAATGGAATCATTGTACCTACTTAATATAACTTTATAAAAATTGTTATATCAAGTGATATATTTTGAAGAGCATCAGGCATGTGGTAAATGCTCAGTAAATATCAGCTATGTTTATCCTATTGTATTCTTCCAGGTATCTCCCTGATTTCATTCCTTACTTCATCAGATCTCAGCCCAAATATTACCTTACCAGTGAGGATGATTCTGGCAATCTTCCAAGATAAAACAGAAATTCGAAGAATTTGTCACCAGTTAGCCAACCTTACAAATGATATTTAAGGATGTGGTGCATACAGTAATAAAGAAACATAATCAACATTATGAAAGGATGTGAAGGCAGGAAACTTTCTAGCAAAAATGCAAAGGATATCTAAATAAATATTTATGAAAAATGGCAGGACTGTGCTATTATTTACCACAATTACCTTGAATATAAATAGAACAAACACTAACTGAACACAGACTGGCTGCACGGATTAAAAATATCACCTATCCATATGCTGCCTACAAGAATTACACAGACTGAAAGGGAAAGGTTGGAAAAAGATATTCCACACAGGTAGAAACCAAAAACAAACAGGAGCAGCCAGTCTAAGAGCTGACAAAACAGAATGAGGAAAAAACTATTACAAGAGACTAAGAAGGACATCACATAATGATAAAGGTATTGATTGAACAGTAGGCTGTGACCATAGTAAATGTATATGCACACAGCACACACACATATGGATGGCATCCAGCCATTTAAAGTGAATATTAGTGCATTTAAACGGAAATATGTTTCAAATCAATTACACTGGGGAACATCAATACTCCACTGTCATCAATGAAAATTAGAGAAAAATTGACAAGGAAAAAAAAAGCTGATACACACTATTGACCAAATGGATGTAATTGATATTTACAAACCGTTCCATACCTTGATGAAAAGAACGTGCCTGCAAGAGTGCTTGTGAAAAACTTTTTGTGCTTTGTTCTCAAAAGTTCATTTAATTAATTCCTAACTCCTATGTTAACTCATTCTTATACTTGGCTGGTGAATTTCTTGGTCATGTGTGTGTCCTTGTGTCTGTGGTTAAGTGCTAGGGGAAACAGAGAACCTTAAAAAGGCAAATAAATTTGGATTTGTAGGAGGCACAAATGCAATTTAAATTGCTATTCAATGAATTGGAATAATATCTGCATATTTGTGACAGAACAATGGACTAAGAAATATTTATCAAATAGCTGAACAGCTTACTGATTAAATGCTAATAAAACGTTAAAACGTTTTCAAACTTATGAGACTGAACTAAACACAAGTCAGTTTTTACTAGGTGCTTCCTAGAGTTAAGCATTGTGTGCAAAGGCCTCACAATTTAGCAAAGCCAGCAGAAGCAAGAGCTCTTTTATGATGGACGAAAGCATGAAGGACACAGCACAGCAGTGGGCTCAGGGACAATCCTGAGGAGACGACACCAGAACAGAGCTGACACAGCACTGTTTTCTATTTTGCCACATGCTTCCATATACTGTCAATATATCCTTCAGTTACCGACTGTAAATAAAGGCCACTCCCAGGCTCAGTCTAGTGTTTTAAAACAAAGGAACACGATGAACTATTTTTATTTTGTTTTTCTCTAATAGGCCTATACATTAAACTGGAAGAGTGCTTATAAAATTGTGTGTGTGTAATTTGTGCCTCAACTAGAATAATCCTATGTTAACTAATAACAGTATGACTCATATTGTGCAACTGCCTGTTCCTTTACTACCCTGGGGATTCCAGAAAGCGGGGAGGATCCTGCTTATCAGGGAATTCCTAGCAATAGCACAGAGTTTAGCATACAGACACACCCTCAAAACAGAGGCACTGGACAACACCTACCAGCAGTCTTTATTCCTGAGATCACTATACCTTTCTTTAGTATAACCAGACATTTTTATAAGACCAAAACACTTCATCCTTACATGTGTCCAGTTGTGCATGATAGCTAGTGAAGATAGTTAGATCTTAAAGGGCAAGCACAGTTCTATACAGCTTGTCCATGATACAGACCGAATGTATCCCTCCACAACTCGCATGTGGAATCCCAAGCCCCTGTATGACTATATTCGGAACACACAGGAAGATGGTGGTGCCTACAGGCTAAGAGAAAGGAGCTCAGAATTAAATCTATCCTGCCAGTTCCTTGATTTTGAACTTTCCAACATCCAGAGATGTCAAAGAAAATGTCTGTCATTCAAGCCAACTAGCCTTAGTGTGTGGCATGTTATAGTAGCTCCAGCAGATTAGCAGATTTTGGTGCCAAGAAATAGGGCGATACTTTTAATGACGGGAATAAGGATCACATGTGATAAGCTGAAGTCAGTGGCATAACTGGTTTTGGATTTCTTACTGTAAAGCACTGCCAGTTACAGCTAACAATATATGCTTTGATTAAACTACTAGCTATACAAATATGAATTCATTTGAATTTCAAAAATCCCAACCACTGCTGATAACTATTTTTAGATTATCATAACAACAATCACAAGTGAAGAGAATTTATGATTCTACACTGAAGAGAGAACCCCATTCCAGAATTACTAGTTGTTTTAACTTACTTTGTTTTTGCTTCCTTCAGTAAGGAAGGGTCATCTGTGGCCAAATACACTCGTTTTTTGTCCACTTGCATCCTGCGTGCGAGCAGCTGAAAATGTTCTTCAACATGCACCATGTACTCCTCAATGGTGTGGAAGGCCGCTTCTGTTCCCACCTTGTCTGTTCGTCTGACGTGGACTCTGCAACAGAAATCCAGATTCTGCTGAAACACCCTGAACCACCTGGCTGCTCTCCAGGCAACCAGTCTAACCCCCTGCTCTGATGACGTTATGGCCAAAGAAACCAATTTTGCTTTTCCTTTCACTTTATAAATACTGTATTAAAGATTTAAAACAAAATACATACTCTAATATATTTTCATGTTAATCGGTACAAGAGGAATTAGAAAATAGTTTTTAAGAATACTTTCTTAACAGAAAGTTAAGTAATTGGTATATTGGGAATAAATGGGAGGTTCTAGAATTTCATTTTGTACTAGGAAGCAAAACAGCAATAAACTGTCCAGAAAAAATTAAAGCATATAAGTTTTAAGGTTTTTTGAGGTCAAAATGATACCAGGATTCACTGATGTTACTCCAAAATGCTAAAGCTACTGTCTGTAACTCTGATGCCAAGTTTTTTTTCCTTTCCTCACTTTATCCTGCTATGTAAACCCAGTCACTGTAATTGCCTGCTTGTACAACTTATGTCTAAGGACAGCACAGATCTGGAAGGATTTTTCTTATAGCACCATTAAGACATGCAAACCTGAGAGGGTTTGTTGCTTTTCGCTCTGTCAAAGCAGGTTAATGTAGGACTCACCTGTCCCTTCAGCAAAGCCCTAACTGTATAAAATAGGGTCAGACTTTTATTGTCTTGCACTGAAGAAACACTTAGTTTTATAGCATTCTCCTCTCATTTTGGTGCTGTCAAAGGAACTTTAAAGAAAATAACAAGTTATAGTTTATTTCTTCAATTAAAAGACTTTCATGATTTTTATTCCATCTTACCAATTATGAGGTCTAGCACATGAGCAAGTCTTTTTAAAATAAATGTGGAGCAAGAATTGATTTCACTGGTGTAATCCTGCCATCTTCATGGTACTGTCCTTCACATTCCAGTTGTGAATATAGTCCAGATGTGGATGCTATCTGTGCTATCCTATCACCTTTCCTACGGCCTTCTTCATCTCTGCTGCTCTAGTGAAATCAGAATTGTTCTACAGACATCAAGTGGGGCACAAAGAAGAATTTTACGAAAAAATTCTGTGTATCTGAAGATGTGCAGTGAAAATAAAAACAAACAAAGGAAACCTGTGATGACAGGAAAAACCCAGAGGCAGCAGTGGAGCACTATGAAGCAGTGTTCTCAGCAGTTCTGTGTGAGCCAGGAAGGAACAATCCTGCACTTTAGGTGGGAGTCTGGAACGTCTATTCTCTGGGGGGTTAGGCTATATAGTAAAATTATATATTGTAAACTTCACAATGCATTGTGAAGGTACAGAAGCCTGTTACCATCTATCACTCTGTAAGATAAATCAGATTCTTACCCAATGACTGGATGCTTGAAGCCAAGCTTCTTGGTAGCTTCTTCTATTTCCTTTTCCAACCAAGGCTGCGGGCGGATCAAGTATTTGACAAACTGCGACACCCACCACACAGCGGGATCACCATGGAGTCGGAGGAGTCGGTCTGCAAGGTCTTCTGGGACAGCCAAGGGTAAATATGGAGGCCGAGGGTGCAGACTGTCTACAATTGGGAGCTCGACCACTTGAACATTTTTGTCCTTTACCTCACCTGGCAGAAAAGTAAAGCGCATCGTTACCAACACCCTGGATTCGCCACACATCTACTATTCAGTAAGAACTCTGGGTGTCTGCATCTTCACAGCCACTCTACAGGCACTTCAGTGGTCACTTTTAGAAGAAGCTAAGTGACTTGTCCAAGTGACAGAGCTGAAGTTCCCATTCATGTTGATCAGTGCCTTAAGTCTATAGTCTTTTCCAAAAATGTTTGTTGTGAATTTCTGTAGCTAACACCTCATGTCACAAGTGAGTGAAGTACCCAGCTCCCAAAGTGTCTAATCAAGGAACAGTCACATTGCCAATAGACAAAGCCAGTGGCTAAGGTCACCTGCGTGAGAGATCTGGAAGAGGCTCTTGGCTCCTGGTTTGGAATTGGCTCAGCTCCAGCTGTGGCTGCTGCCTAGGGAGTTAATCATCAGATGAAAGATGTTCCTCTCTGTCTCTCCTTCTCTCTGTATATCTGACTTTCCAATAAAAACAAATAAATCTTTAAAAAAAAATTGGGTACTTTTATCGGATATGAACCTGTAACAGTGTGACAAGAGTGAACTGTGTCTTAATTTAAGCTTTAACAGTCTCCCGTAAATCAAGAAAAACTGGGGTGCTTCCCCTGATGGGGACATAATCTTGAGAAAAGTTTATGTATGAAAGAGAAAATAATGATAAAAAGGGGTAAAAGTAGTTCTCTTACTGTTGAAAACCAAAGACAGGAAGAAAAAAAGACCCTACTCACTCATCTATGGATATAAATTCTGTTTTCCATTAAGCAAAAACAAAATTAGTATTACTGCCTTCTTTTGATGATTTCTTCCTAGCAATGTTCTTCTACATGTTTAGGGTTACTAATTTCAAACTTTACTTACATGAAGCAGTACTAACCCTTCTTGTTGCACAAAGGCCTTATCTTCCTTACAGCTAGTCCTATTAACAGCTTTCAGAAAATGGAAGCCACACTTACACTTTCAAGACACAGGACTCAGCTTATTTTTGTTATTTATTTATTCATTCCCTTGTTCAAATATTTATTGAACACTATGTACAAAACACTATACTTGGCAGAGTATACTGTGACGACATAGCTATTCTTTGCCAAGTAACTACTACTCAAGATTTTCAATTAAAAAATCTCACATAGGGGCTAGTGCTACAATGTACCCGGTAAAAACACCACCTGCAGTGGTGCCATCCTGTATGTGTGCCAGTTCAGTCCTGGCTAATCCACTTCCGCACTTGGAAAGCAGCCGAGGATGGCTCCTTCACCCATAAGGGAGACTCGATGAAGAACTGGCTTCAGCCTGGCCCGTCTCCGGCCATTGTGGCCAGCTGAGGAGTGAATCAGTGGATAGAAAACTGATCTTTCTCTCTCCCTCTACATCCTCCTGCTTGTAACTTTGTCTTTCAAATACATACATGATGGCTCAGTGGCTAAATTCTCACCTTGCATGCACCAGGACCCCATATGGGTGCTGGTTTGTATCCTGGCTGCTCCACTTCCCATCCATCTCCCTGCCTGTAACCTGAGAAAGCAGCAGAGGATGGCCCAAAGCCTTGGGACCCTGCACCCATGTGGGAGACCTGGAAAAAACTCCTGCCTCCTGCCTTCAGATCAGCTAGGCTCTGGCCGTGTGGTGCCTTTGGGGAGTGAATCAGTTCATGGAACATCTTCCTCTCTTTATCTCCTTCTCACTCTTGTTAGGTGGTGGGGGTGCTTTTTCCAGTAGAAGAGAAAGGAATTTGGGAGGAGGAATGAGAATTAAGTTATTAAATATTTTATAAACATTTCTGAGAAGACAGTATGAGAAGCCGCTAAATCTTTCTGAGAATTTTCTTGAGTGGAAATCCAAAAAGACTCTTCCTTCAAGACTGTGTTAAACTTTCAGAGCAGTCCAGATCAGTGCAGTTGTAACACTGGGTGCTCAAATTCTAGGGAAAGTGTATAGAACTATGTAACTGCTCCAAGGTATTCTGAAGAAAAGCCTAGAAAACCTAGAAAAATCCTGAATATTAAGTTTCCAACAACGAGTGGTGAAATGAACGAACCTACTATTTACATTTTTTTAAATGGATTCATTTTAACACAAAATATTTATAAGCAGAGTGACAAAGAAAATGAAGGAGAGAGAACAAATGAAGAAGGCTTAAGAAAGAGACAAAGAATGTCCCATCTGCACAAGGGCTGGGCCTGGACCCAGGACACTCCATCAAGTCTCCCACACAGGTGGCAGGGGCCTGAGCACTTTCACTGGTTTCCCAGGTGGATTAGCAGGGAGGTGGACAGCAGCCCCAGAATGGATTCACTTGAAAAAAGATAAATGAGTACCATTTCACATATTGTTAAATCACAAATATGAATGCACTATGCACAAAACAAAGTTATTATGTTCCACATGAACACTGCTGCTTATGGCGGGCCAGACCCCAAGCTAGATTCTGTTACAAGAGGATATCACTAGAGTTTTAAAGGCTGATCACTGATCTTTCTGTTATCTCTTGTGTGTTTGATACCAACTGAGAAACTGCAAGGAGTAAGATGGCAATCCACATACCAGCTTGATCACCAAACAAGGTCAATGGCAGAACGTGATCTGTGGTTGGGACTGACAGCTTTGTGGGTATTCTACTAGTTCCTATCCTGTACTAAGCAGAGCTTGCCAATCAGGGAGTAGGCCCTCACAAGACTACCTCACAGACACTGTGCCTTGATCTTAGATGATACAGCCTCAGGAACTGTGAGAAATAATTGTCTATTGTTTGTAAGTCGTCTAACTTACGGGGTTTGTTACAGTAAACTGAATGGACAATGATATTTCTCTTGCTAATTATGTTCTACTGGAGTACGGCACAGTGGCTCTATTAGCTAATCTTCCTCCTGCAAATGCCAACACCCCATGCTGCCACTGCTTTGTGCACTAGCTGCTCCATGTCCCATCCAGCTCCCTGTTTGTGGGAGAGCAATGGGAAGATGGCCCAAAGCCTTGGGACCCTGCACCCAAGTGGGAGACCCAGAACATGCTCTAGACTCCAAGCTTCAGATCAGTTCACTCCAGCCATTGTGCTCATTTGGATAGTGAGCCAGTGGATAGAAGATCTTTCTCTCTGTTTTCCCTTCCAATACAAATATATACATTTTTAAAGAATAATTTTGTTTTATAAGATCATTTTCTTTGCCTTATGCAGGCTCATATGCCATTTTCTGCACTTACAGATCTCTTCTGGCACCACAGTTCTTTGAAACAATCTGTTTAGCTTCACGCAAGTACCTCTGGAGAAGCCATCTCTGTGTTGGCCCCATTTAAAAGAACCACTCTGTCTTTATTTCAGGTAACAGAAGACAGACGCTAGCAGAAGCAGGGTGACACATTCCTGGAAATGGTCAATCAGAACTATCTCTTTATTTGACTCAATAGAAAGCACTTCAGAAGTTTAACATTTACCATGAATGAGTAAGTTTTGGTTAAAAGAAAAAAAAAAGCAGCAGCTTCAGAGATGGGAGCATTCTGGGTGCCAGTTCACGATATTTTGCATTTATAGTTGTTTTTATTTAACTGATAGTCATGAGTAATCCTCCATATCTAACTAGAATTTCTAAGCTGCTCTTCAATTGCTAGCCCTTCTCGGAGCATTCATCCAACAGAAAAATTACTCTTGTTCTTCTTATTCTTCATTCGATCAACGCTGAGGTTCATACTTAAGAGGTTTGAAAAATAAAAATATGGGTCCCAATTTTTAAAAAAAAAAGTCACTCTGACTTGAGAAAAAAGTCAGAAAAGGGAATTCTGAAGACAAAATTACACAGTTCAGAATGGTCAAGGCAGAATAGCCTGGAATAGGGTTTCCAAGTTGAGAAAAATCTCCGATAAGACATCACTTCCTGGGACTTGTAACTGTTTCACATAATACAATGTTACTAACAATAAAAAAATAGTTTTACCTATCAAAAAAAAATAAACTTTATGATTAAATAATACTATAAATATATGTTTCTGTTATGTGTGCTTTCATGGTAGCTTCTGAAGCATGCTTTAAAAAATAAAAGTAGACAAATTTTTTGAACAAAAACTTGTGATAATTCTAATTGTGATTTTACATATTTTGATGAAATCATTTTGACTCACAGTATTATTATTTGCAATTTCTTGCTTCCAGGGAAAACAACTTGCATTGAGTTTAATGGCTGCTTATGTTAATATATTAAACTGATGGAAAAAAAAAAAAGAAGCAGCATTTTAGGACAAGGTAGAACTCTTAACTTCTTTTCAATGCTGCCAAGAATACTTTTATTCCACGTGTTTTGGAAAGCAAAACTGGTGAGAGAAGCCCGACCCCTGTGCCATCGATGGATGCTTACGATCTGCAGTCCACTCTCATCTGCTACTAAAGGCCAGGAAAACATCTGAGGGGAAGCCATGTTATTCTAATGTTAAAAATCTATCTATTGATTTGTTAAGAATATCATATCTATTAAACTCTGTAGAATTTTCCTATTGAGTTATACCCTTTTGGAAGAGGAAAGAAGATAGTAAAACACCACTAAAGATCTTGGACAGATCTTAGTTCCTATTATATGGAGTTAGCTTAAAGAGCATATAAATCTGAGAAGAGAGATAAGAAAATTACAAATTTACATCATATCCAAAGCCTAGTGCATCAAATTACCTAAAAGGAAAGGAGCCATTCTCAACTTTTGTTAGCATATCAACAATGATCTTGACTGCAGAATCACTCTAAACTTTAATAAGATCTACAAGCTTTTAAACAAATAAACTGTTATCAAATGCTACTGAAGAAATGTACTTTTGCTTTCATACACTTTGATGCTTGAATTGAAAGTCAAATGTGACTTAGCTTCAAAGACTCACATAGGTATTTATGAAGAAAACACTAAAATTCAAATATTTAAAAATGAAAGATGCATGGAGAGAAGGAGGAAAGGCTAAAAAGAGGGAAGGCAAGATGAAATAAGGAAGGAAAGAGGACAAAAGGCAGGCAGGC